AGGGATTTTAACATGAATAAGAATGCCAATATTTTAATATAAAATTATATGCATTACTTCCACAAGGTATGGAATGCTTTTTACTCGTGGGACAGCACATTTTCTTTCTAAAGAAGATATGTATGGGAAGCAAATTTATAATAAAGTTTTTGATAACCATATCAAGAAACAAATTATCTTAAGCAGTGCCCTCCACCTAGGAGAACTGGAGAAACCTCAGGAGCTATGGGGAAGGCTGTGCCAGACTGTTCAAATCTACTGTCAGATGAATGCCGACCCCCACCCAGCCCAACACCATCACCAAGACTCTGAATAAGCCAAAATTTATATTTCTTTGTTTTTGTTGTGGCTGTTATTTTAATCGATTTAGCTAGTCCAGGTTGTCTAACCCACCTTAATGATGCTTTCTTTTCTTAGATATTTAAAACCAAAAATTAGATTACTGGCAGAAAATTTTACTTCCTACTTCAGATCTGAAAAGACTTTTTTTAAAAAAAGTAAAATACAGATGTATGGCCCGGCCAGTGTGGCTCAGGATTGAGCACTGGTCCCATGCACCAAGAGGTCACTGGTTCAATCACCAATGCAGGGTGTGCAGTAGGCACCTGATCAATGGTTCCTCTCTGTCTCCCTCTCCCTTCCTCTCACTCATATATTCAAATAGATATAGATAGATAGAGATAGAGATAGAGATAGAGATAGAGATAGAGATAGAGATAGAGATAGAGATAGAGATAGAGATAGAGATATCACTATTGAGTGGATTTTCCAATTTAACTGTCAGAGCTTTATTCCCCTGGCAATAATACCACTTTCCCATGATTTCTTTTCTTAGAGCAACATTTCCTTTTAGACTCAAGTCATAAAGTAATACTTATGTAAGAGATTAATATCCTTAATCTCAATTCCTTGTTAGTAAAATGAGAAAAATCAAAGTTCTCTTCAAGTTGCATAATCTGTGGTTAAATAATTTACATTGCAATTCCTTTAAAAAGCCAAAATAAAACTTTCAAACTCCTAGAAACTTTAATCAAATTCTGAAAAGCCCACATTCCTAGTACAACCTAAAAATTATTTGTTATACTTGATTCTTTTAGTTATACCCACAATGAACAGATCTGAACTACCAGTTGCATAATCTTAATATAGAGCATATATGAACACACATAAACCCATACATACACACTTATACATGTCTATACATATATACATAATGACTAACTATAATAAATACAACTCAACACAGCTAATTTAGATATACTCCATTCATCCAGATAGAGCCTTTCACCAAACGACTCAGATTTGTGAGGGTTCAGAGATTCTTTTGAATATCATTTAATCTGATAATCTGTTATCTAAGAAATAACACACAAATAGAACTTGGCTAAACTAGAAAAATGTGTTATTTTTCCAATTTTGCCAGCAGGAAAACACAAAACAAACAAACAAAAACAATCTGAAGTCCTAGTCCATTCACAAGGTAGATTTTTCTCTCAATATCTCCTCCAACTTCTCAATTATAGACGAACAGATGCTTTATGTGTAACATGTTGTCACATAAACCTAATATATGTACCTATAATTCCTGAAACTTTCCAGGTCCTTTGACCAATCAACTTGCTTCTTTGTGGATGTTCTACCTGAGGGCTTATATTTCCACTCTCTTGGGCCTGTTAAATCTGATTGGTTAACACTCTTCTAATGCCTTTTTTCCCCCCACTTATCTTTATTGTAGAATGTATTAACAGACATTCCTCCTTTTTCCCCCATTGACCCCTCCTCCCCAATCCTGTCCCCCTTCTTCCTTCCCCACACTATTGTCTGCATCCATTGGTTATGCATATATGCATAGAAGTTCTTTGGTTTATCTCTTCCAGCCCTCCCTTCCCCCTTCCCTTTGAGGTTCATCAGTCTAACAACCAATTTGTACTTCTTAATTCCTTCATCCTTTTCGCTCATCCTCCCAGCCCCCTCCTATTGCCTTTCTTTTTTCTAGAGTTGTATCTTCTATCTGTTCTACCTCTTCTTGTAATCATTTTTCCCTCATCTGGCTATACATTTTTAGTCCCTTTGGGTGTGTAAATTAAGGAGTGATTGATCCATGTGTAAAAGGCATTGTTTAAAAGCAAGACTGGTCATGCTTCTTTACATTTCCCTATCCCAATTCAAAAATTTGGGGCCAAACTCCGAGGGTGCCCTCCTTCTAAATCCTAAACCCTAAATACTTTGTTGGTTCAAAATTCCAAAACATGAAGTCAACCCATAAGGGTTTTTTGTTTGTTTGTTTGTTTTTCAAAAATAATCAAGAAAGAATAAATAAAAATTACTCAGAAAAATGTCTCAACCCTCTATTGGTGAAATAGCAAAAGCTTGAGCAAGGAAAATCCTAACTATGAAAGGCAAAGTCAAACTCTAGGCATCACATAGGTACAGCTCTTAAAGGGCAAGGAGAGCTGACACCCTCTCAATAGCACATGAATGACTGACAGTGATGACACCCAATCACAGCTTTTCTTATATAGGGCATTGAAAGCTGTGCTACACTTTCAATAAGTAGTAAGCATGCATAACTTCTCCAAAGAGCAAAAAATAAGAATTTTACAAGAGATTCTGTGCTTCCATTTCCTTTCTTCACTTCACTTCGCATAATGTATCTTTTGGGATGAAATACCTAGGCTTTTTAGCGCCATTCTGTAAAAACTACCTGCAGTCTATGGATCCCATCTTTTACCGAAAGAGAATGGCTTCCACTTGTCAAATGGCTAAGAAGCACCTACACATACATCCCTATAATGCAAGGTTTCCAAGGATTTCCTGAGACATACCCAAAATAAATACTCCATAAATTCTTCAGGCATTGTAATATTGACAAAAAAATGAGCTTCCTTCAGAGGGAGGTTTTGATTAGTTACTATTAGGATTTTATGACTGCTGTTATCCATTAAATAAAAATGGAAAACAAGTGTTCCCCTATTTTCCATAAACAAGGCCTCTCCAGAACTCTCTTTTACTTTTTCTTCTTTGGCATGTGCCTCTAGCAGGAACCGAACCTGGGACTCTGGTCCACAGGCCAATGCTCCAACCACTAAGCCAAATCAGCCAGGGCTCTTATTTACTTTAAAAGTGGGTTTTCCACCCTGGCCGGTTTGGCTCAGCGGTTGAAGCATTGCCCTGTGGACCAGAGAGTCCTGGGGTTTGGTTCCCGCTAGGGGCACATACCACAAAAAAAGTGGGTTTTCCTTTCTTTTAGTATCCACCTATCTCAGTCTGTCTCAGAAGTTAAGATGCAAAGCTGCAAATTAATATAGATATTTTCATAGGAAGCAAAGTTAAATGTAAAATTGATTACACTCCCCTACATCTAATTACTAAATAGACAAAGATCCTGCTGACCAAGATGCATTGTGTTCCATAAGATTACCTCTATAAATTAGCTGTGCTGTCACAGTATCTATGATACTAGAATATTGTAGGTGTGTGATCCACACACTGGTTTCAAGGAACCCACCCTCAACTCCCCAGAGAAATGGAAGACTGCAGAAGGAAGAGAGGAAGCACTTGGAACTCTTTCAATGTTTTTATGAGTTTCAGATATAACCACAGGCCACATTACATGAATCAAGGGTGATTAGGGCTCTTTACAATTCCAGTTTCCAAATGACAATATGCAAAAAGTAAAATAACGATATGCAAAGCAACTTGGGCCCTCTGGCTTCTGGGATGTGGGAAAACATTGGGGGGGGGGGGGCTCTTTGGATAACATGCTACCATCCTTTGACTAGACCCTCACTAGCTTCCTTTTCCTTAAAGTTGCCTGCTAAAGGCTATGCTAAAAGATGCCATCTATCTTTAATTGAAAACGGTTCACATCAAACCAAGGTTTAACATACAGCTCCCCACTAGCTTCAAGAAGTTTAAATATTTCAACAGCATGAATGTGGACCTTTGCAATCCCTGCTTCCCACCCCTCCAGCTTCACCCCTGCTTCCTCACATTACTCAGTACCCCTCCAAAAAAGATAAGACTAATAAAATAGCATATCCCTCTCTTCATGTCCTTAGCTCCTCTAGACCTCCTCATTCCATTCCCTCTGCCTCCTTCGTTTCCCCAACTACCGAATCAGTCCATTTTCTTAATAAAATTAGGCATGTGTTGGCCTCAATTTAACACCCTTAAATCCGTTTCCACCATTAAAAGCTCTCTTAGGTCCTCCCTTAGCACCTAGTAATCAGCAGTGTATGTTATATGAAGTGCTCAGATAGTGTTTGTGAACGAACGGGTAAAAGAATGAACAAAGGCCCAGGAACCTAGACCATGCGCATGCGTAAGAGGGAGAAACTAAGAAAATGTGAATGTGAGAAAAAAGTGAGAATGCGAGAGACAGTGAGAGAAACAGGCAGTTGCCCGCCGGTGTGGCGCAGTGGTTGAGCGTCGACTCCTGCAGCAAGAAGTCACCAGTTCAATTCCCATCAGGACACATGCCCAGGTTGAGGGCCCAATGGGGGGGGGGGAGGCAGGAGGCGGCCAATCGATGTTCTCTCTCATGGATGTTTCTCTCTCTCTCCCTCCCTCCCTCTCTCTCTAAAATCAATAAAGAAAAAAACATTTTTTAAAGAGAGACAGGGACTGGGAGACTCCTCGCCACCTTCTCCTCTTTAGGCCCAGGGGACCAGGTACAAGCCTGTCTCTGCGTCCCCGAGGACGCCCATCGGCCCAGGCTCGCTGCAGCCGGCTTCCCCGCCGCGCCCGCGCCCGAGCACGCAAAGGCTCCGCGGGCGGCCCCAGCCTCCGGGCCCAGGTGTTAAAACGCTGCCCTCTCTGAGGAGCGGGCTGGAAGGGAGCTCGAGCGCCAGAGGCTGGGCGGTGGAGGGGCCCCGCATCGGCCGAGAGAAGGCGCCGCGCGAGAGCAGGGAAGGTGCCGCGGGCGGGCCTCGGCGCGCAGGGCGGAGCGCGGGGAGGGAGGCGGCCGGGGCCGCGGGGCGCGCCGGGCGCCGCATTACCTCTCCATGGCCTGCAGGGTGTAGCTGATGAGCGGCCTCTCCAGGATGGGGCAGAACTGCTTCGGGGTGGGGACGCCCATCCTCTCCCCACTCCCCCCGGCCGGCAGCACGGCCGCCACAGCCAGCGCGCAGCGCTGGGGCTCGGCCTCGGCCCCGCTCAGCACGGAGGCCGAGGCCGCGTGGGCCGCGCCGCGCACGCCGCGCACGCGAGGCCCCGGCTCCGCGGGCCCGGAAGCACCCGGCGGCTCGGGCTCCATGGCGGCGGGCCCGCTCACTCGGCACCCAAGCGCCCGCCGCTGCTCCGGCACCCGGGCGGGGTCGCGGGCTGGAGGGCGGACACGGGCAGGGCTGCGGAGCGCGCAGACAGCGCCCACCGGGCCGGGGCCGGGAGGTCCCCAGGGAACGATCTGGCGGCCGGTCTTCCCTCTCGGCGCGCCAGCGGTCTCGGCGCTGAGCCCAGCCCCCCGGCAGGCCTGTTTCCCGGCTCACTTTCTCTCCTCCCGCGGGCCCAGCAGGAGCCACAGGTGCAAGTGTCAGTCCTCCTGTTCAACTTAGCTGTGAGAAGGCAGGAGAGGTCTGGACGCCCTCCCATCTCTCACCCCTTGAAGATTTGAAAGAATTTGGACCAAAGTCACAGGAGGGGACAGAGAAATGTGCTCCTCTATTATCTGACGTGCACTAAACTCTGGTAAAGACAGGTGGATGGACGAATGCTTTTAAGAAGCATCAGTACCCAGTCTGCAAATTGAAGCCACCTGGGGAGTTCCAAAACTGCTGGCGCCCATGCCCCACCCTCAGAGAAGAGATTGAGGTTTAACTAATCTGGTGTGTAGGTTAGGTTTGCGGATTTTTTTTTTTTTTCGGTTGGTTGGTTTTGTTTTGTTTTTGATTAATCCTCACCCGAGGATATTTTCCGTTGATTTTTAGATAGAGTGGAAGGGAGGAAGAGAGAAACATAGATTAGAGAGAGGCATCTCCCTACCCCGACCAGGCCAGGGATCAAACCTGCAACCCAGGCAGGTGCCCTTTACCGGGAATCAAACCCGCGACCCTTCAAGCCCCATACTGAAACCACATTACAACTGCTGAGCCAAACCCGCCAGGGCTGGGATGTTTTTAAAGATTCCAACCAGCAGAAACATTTTGGAACCACATAGCCAAAGAAGTAGTAGGAATCACTGTTGAACATTCTATGCACATTATCTCACTTAATCTCCAGGAGAGCCCAACTATTACTCTCTCCGTTTTACAGAGGAGGAAACAAGGTATAAAGTTTAAGTAACTCCATGAGAGCAAGGGCCTTATTTTTTTGGTTCAGGTTGTATGCTCAGCTCCTGGAATATAACAGAGGCTTAATAAATATGTATTGAATGAACTATTGGTTAAATAAGTTAATGTGAATTAAAGCATATATAATCAAATATTTTCTAATTCATGTTTATCAAACTTCACCCATCAATAGGTAATATCAAGTTCATAAAAAGGGAATGTATTAAGCACTGAAAATATTATCAGGTTATAATATTTCATTTTGGTATTTTTACCCTTTTCCCAGTTAAGATTAAAGCATACAAGATTAAATTACAAAATTTCTGCTACTCTCTTCTTTTTATTTAATCTTGTTATTGCAAACACTCTCAATTTCACTTGTGTTACTCATTATAATTAACATTTAGCTACGTTCTGGGACAGGATTGTTAGATCACTGACTCTTAACTCAAAAATAAGCATCATAATATACTTGCCTTTGTAGCACCACTACCACACCTGTATCTGGCCTATACTATGCATTCAATTAATACCTGTTGACTAACCAGATAAATAAATGAATAAGTGAGGCTATCTAGAGAGGCAGAAAGGCAAATCAATTCATTGTTGCTATTAATATTGATCTTTATACTTCCCTTTTTAATATAACAGGGGAATTAAAGCTAGTGTTCATTTTCTTAGTCTTGAAAAAAAAAGCATAGTAAAGGCTTTATTATGTCAATTGCTACATGATCATTATATATCTCTAAATCTTGACAAATTTTTGCCAAAATCTTATTTTACTAATTTATTTATATTCTTAGAGTAAATATACTAATCTTGCTCTGTTCACTATGAATCCTTACATCTTATATACTGTATATTAATAATGTTTAACAGATAGACTTGTATAGAACAAAAAGACTGTTCATTTGTGTATCACAATATGAGAAGCAATGTTTTTTCTGTCTTTTTATATAGATATAAAAAACTAGGGGGGTGGGAGTGGGAAAAAGGGGGCAATGGGGAAAAAAGAGGACATCTGTAACACTTTTAACAATAAAGATTAAAAAATTAGTTTCTTATTGTGCATGCCTTGGGTAAAAGATGTAATTTCCATGTTACTTTATACCAAGTTCTAGCAGCCACATTATAAGAATATATTCTCTGCAACAGGCATTTGGAAGTACATACTGTGAGGAGAACACCTTGCCAGCTGGGCACTGCCCACCTTGAAGCTGCTGCAATAGAGAGAGTCTAGAACCACTAACAGGAGCCAGCCCAAAAGGTAAGAATTCTTGCCAAGTCAGATTCCCAGATTTCTATCTCCAGAGTTAGGTGGAAGCAGAATGGTGAGAGTGTAAGTGTTTTTTTGTTTGTTTCTTTGTTTGTTTTCTTTACTAAATATAGATTAGCAGGAGAAAGTATGTGTGAAACTAGTTTCTTGGGTTTAGTGATTCTTTGTTAGTTGGTATCAGTATTCATGGATTTTGTTAATTTCTCTTTTTCTCTGTGTGACTGATGTCTCTCCATTGTGTAATATGTCCTGAGAGTTTGGCTTTTATGACCAGTGAGAATATTTTCTCTCTGGCCTCTGCCATCTACGGGGTACACTTGCTGGGGTGCATCTTGCTGTCTGTCCAGCCATTCCAAGCTCTCAAGGGAGTTTTCTGTGCCTATTCATTTCCTCCCAGAGATGGTAAGAATAGGGCCCCTCATTCTTGGTTTCTGCCAGTCAGAGAAGCATATACATCTGGCAGGCAGCCGAGTAGGCTGTGGATCTGAGTTTTGAGAGTCTAAACATCAAAAGTGGGGAACATGTCATTCCCTGTGTTTTGGAATGGCTGTTTCTAACTCTGGGAGTTACTTTGTCTTATGAGAGTTGCATTTTTTGCATTTCCTTTGGGGATGCCTCTTGCATTTATACATTCATATTGATTGGAGCCACTATTAAGATCCTACTCATCAAGACAAGACAATGGGTCCTTTGAATTGGAAAATGTTCTAAATTGAAAAGAAAGAAAAAATTTAAAGAACCCTCTTATTGTTATAAAGGCTAGTCATTAGGACACCCTTAATAAGATGGAAGGACAGAAATGAGAATGAAAATCCAAGTTCACTCAGTCCCCTTCCTATTTGTCATCAGATATTTGCAGATATTATTAAAAAATCAGGATATTGGAAGTACAATTGTCCTATACTTAAGGAAATAAAATGAAAAGAACAAAAAGGAAAATCTTACTAAAGACAACCTAAAAAGTTTATGTCCGAAAATCTTGACTTGGTAACTGTCAGATTGGAAGCTCCAAAGTATGGGCTAAACTCCATTTACTTTGGGTCCTACGAAAATGCTGCCAGCCCTCAAGGATATATATCCTAAAATCACAATCACAATTGTGAGAAACATGCCAATTAATTGAGATCACTTATAAATACACTTAAAAGCAAGGGCTTCCAAATCAAATATATATATATATTTAATTGGTATGCGAGAGTCTTCATAAGGCTTCAAAAACTCTAAAATACTTCATTGACAGATTTGTTATGAAAGGCTAAAACAGAGATAAAAGGTGCCTAAAATAAAAGACTGACGTCATCCCTTCTAGGTGATTGTCTTTTACTCCCTGGTCTAAGGATCATAATTAGGTAATTTCTTAAACTCTGGAATAATCCTCAAAGAATTCTTTTTATAAATGGATTTCCTCCTAAGTCTAGTGAAAGAGGGAAATAAAATGACACTTTCCTTTCCTTCCCAAATCAAGACCAATTAGTTATTGACCCTTTCTTTCCCAGAGATAGGTGTTGCCTTTGTCCTAGGGTTTGGTTTGGCTTTCTGCCTGGGATACACAGGCTGTCACTTCTTTCTTTTGACTATCAGAGGAAATGACTCTGGAAGTTAAGAACCTTTGTCCCTTTTTGAGTCCATGGTATTGTTTAATACTGCCAGAAATATTTACTGTTGCCCCGGCTGTAATCTAACAAAATATTACAAAGGATTTAATAACTCTATGATAAAAAATTTGGCCAAATTGGAAGCTAAAATTCAGAACCTGATATGAAGATGAGGAAGGAGAGAGGGCCTTCTCCTAAGCTAAAATAAAACTATGCACCCAGGGGGAAAGGAGAGATTAAAGATGATGTAGTTGGACAAGTAGATCAACCTATGATGTCACTTAAGTTACAATAGGTTCTTTGGGAAATTGAGAGCAGTTGGTCTTATCTTACAAATCCTTGTGGAACCAGAAATGCAGCTCTAGAAGCAGTTCAAAGCCCACCTATCTTATCAGCTAAGGCTGGAGGGGAAAAAACAGAAATGAAGAATTTTTTTGAAAGCACAAACTGCTGTTCTTGTTCCAAGGTTGCCTTGTTAAGGACAAATACAAATCTTAATTGTCTTCACAAATATGAATAAGAAAAAAGCTTTAGCCATCTGAGCAAATAAACTTATTACCTAGCTCATGGCTGAAAATTTTAAATGAAGGCTAGGAAGGCTCTGTTTGCATCTGTTTGTATGTTCATGTGCGTTGTATGATATTTCCTACCTTCAAATGATATTGCTAATTTGTAAAAGCTCTATTTAATTGGCTTAAACAAACGCTTCTATTTTAAAAATTCTCAAAAATATAGTGGAAACTAACTAAATGCTTTTCAGGTTCATGGAATCTGAGGGAAATAGTTTGTTGGTTTAACTAAAACAGGTGTCTTTAGAGCTTTTATCAAGTATAATACTTTTATTCTACCTGGGCTTATTAGTCAAATGAGTGTATGTTATCTCCATTGCAAAATTTGTCGGCAAGACAAATAACTCAGTATGTGAAATATTCATAGGTAACCTAAACATAATTAAATAGTAAATTAAATAGTTGTAAGCAGTAAAAGTTTTTTAGGTGAACTTTAACAATAATTATATTTTATGTTTACTTAAAAACGGTTTCCTAAGTCTCTTTAGTAACTTAAAATTTCAAGGTTTTGCTACATTAAATTAAATAATGGAAATTTATTGAATATT